CCCAGGCTGGAGTGCAGTGGCACAATCATGGCTCACTTCAGCCTCGACCTCCTGGGCTCAAGTGATCCTCATGCCTCAGCCTCCCGAGTAGCTGGAACTACAGTGCAAGCCACCCTGTCTGGCTAACACATTTTTGTTTTGTAGAGACCGGGTTACGCCATGCTGCCTAGACTGGTCTTGCAGCTCTGGCCTCAAGCGATTCTCCTGCCTGGGTCTCCCAAAGCACTGGGGTTACGTTATTTGGGCATTTAAAGGATCACTTTGGCTGTGGGGTGGTGAGTGGCTGCTAAGAGATGAATATAAAGCTGGGGGCCAGGCTTGGTGGCTCACGCCTGTACTCCCAGCATTTTATGAGGCCGAGGTGGGTGGATCACCTGAGGTCAGGAGTTCAAGACCAGCCCGGCCAACATGGTGAAAACCCGTCTCGACTAAAAATATGAAAATTAGTTGGGTGTGCACCTGGGGTGCATGCCTCTCGTCCCAACTGCTCTAATCAGGAGGCTGAGGCAGGAGAATTGCTTGCACCTGAGAGGCAGAGGTCAGCGAGCTGAGACTGGGCCACTACACTCCAGCTTGGGCAACAGAGGGAGATCCTGTCTCAAAAAAAAAAAAAAAAAAAAAATACTGGATCGCTGGGTGCTTGGATGATAGGGCTATGGAGACAGAATAAAGTGAACAGAGGCAAGAGGCAAAATTGACAAGGCTTTGTGATGAATTGAATGTGTGGGTTGGGGGAGTGGGAGACAGAGGTATTCAGGGATTCTACGCCCATATCTCAGATGAGCATACTGAGTCTCGGGGTTGGGCGAAAGCCCATCATCACACAGTCATAATCCAGCATCTCAACTAGCGCTTCGACCTATGCCTGTCTGCTGTGTAAGCCCCAGCTTTCTTCAACCCCAGACGTGTCTTCTGTGTCTGCCCCTCACCCATGGAGGTCATTCTCAGGCTCAAAGCCATAAATAGCATCTAAATTATTTTTGTATTTTTTTGTAGAGACAAGGTCTCGTCATGTTGCCCAGGCTGGTCTTGAACTCCTGGGCTCACACGATCCTCGCACCTCTAACTCCCAAAGTGCTGGCACTACAGCTATGAGGCACTGTGCCCGGCTGGCGTCTGCATTCTAATGACTCCCACAAGCCTGAAGCCTGTATCCAGCCAGAAACCCCTGCTGTCACCTTTTTTTTTTTTTTAGATGCAGCCCGGCTCTGTTGCCCAGTCTGGAGTACAATGGCAAAAAGCAATCGCGTCACTGCGACTTTCATCTCCCAGGTTCAAGCAATTTGGCCTCAGCCTCCAGAGTAGCTGGGATTACAGGTGCGCACCACCACACCCGGCTAATTTTTGTATTTTTAGTAGAGACGGGGTTTTGCCATGTTGGACAGGCTGGTCTTGAACTCCTGACCTCAGGCGATTCACTTGCCTGGGCCTTCCAAAATGCTGGGATTACAGGCGTGAGCTACTGCGCCCGGCCCCCTCCTGTCATCTCATTGCCGGTATCACTGCCTACGTGAAGTCTCCCCTGGATGTCTTACAGGCATTTCAAAGGCAGCGTGACCAACCCCGAGCTCCTGGTCTTACCCCAAACCGGCTCTCCCTGACGTCTCCCCATCCCAGGGCACAGCAGCTCCGGCTTCCACCCGCTCAAAAGTCCCGCAGTCCCCATCCCCATCACTGCCCACCTGGGTTACTGCAGCAGCCTCCTCCCGACCTCCTGCTTCCATCCCACCCCCTCAGCCTGGTCCCCACCTTGAAGCCACAGTGATTGTTAGGACCTAAGTCAGACATTGTTCCTCCTCTGCTCAAGAGTCTCCTGTAACTCCCATCTCACTCCCAGGAAAGGCCAGGGGAGTCGCACTGTGACTCACAGGGTTCTGCCCGTCTGCCCGCCTCCCTCTCTGTCTTCACCTCTCACCTCTCTCCCCATGGCCCACCTGGCTCCAGCCACACCAGCCTCCCTGCTGTTCTTCGAGCATTCCAGGAACCATCCTGCCTCAGGACCTTTGCCCAGACTGCTGGTCCTGCCTGGAGGGCTCTTCCTCCAGATATGGATGTGCCTCACTTCATTACCTCCTCCAACTCTTTGCTCAAGTGTTACATTCTTAATGGGGTCTTCCCTGAGAACCCCAATTAATGTACCAGCGGCGCCTTTCTGTCTCATCCCTCACATTCCCAATTCTCCTTACTTTAATTTTTTTTTTAAATTGAGACAGAGTTTTGCTTTTATCACCCAGGCTGGAGGGAGTGGTGCAATCTTGGCTCACTGCAACCTCTGCCTCCCAGGATCAAGAAATTTTCCTGCTTCAGCCTCCCCAGTAGCTGGGATTACAGGTGCCCGCCACCACACTTGGCTATTTTTTTTTGTATTTTCAGTAGAGACGGGGTTTCACCATGTTGGCCAGGCTGGTCTTGAACTCCTGACCTCAGGTGATCCACCCACCTTGGCCTCCCACAGTGCTGTGATTACAGGCGTGAGCCACCACAGATAGCCCCATCCACTTCATCTATTATTTTTCCATAACACCTGTAATCTTCTAAACCAGTATATCATGATTTAATTTATCATGTATTACATCTGACCTCCCACTGGGATGTAAGTTCCACAAGGGCTTGCTTTGCTACAGGAGTTATGTCTGGTACTTAGAACAGTATTGTGGCCAGTGAGCAGCCTGGGTGACACAGCGAGACTCTGTCTCAAAAACAAACAAACGAAAAACAATACTACTGTGTCATAAAAAGCATTCAGGCTGGGCTCACACTTAGAATCCCAGCACTTGGGAGGCTGAGGTGGGAGGATCACTTGAAGCCAGGAGTTCAAGACCACAGCCTGGGCCACACAGGAAGACCTCATCTCTTACAAGAAAAATCTAAGGCCGGGTGTGGTGGCTCACCCCTTAATTCTAGCACTTTGAGAGGCTGAGGAGGGTGGATCACGAGGTCAGGAGTTCAAGAACAGCCTGGCCAACAGAGTAAAGCCCCGTCTCTACTAAAAATACAAAAATTAGGCCGGGCGCGGTGGCTCAAGCCTGTAATCCCAGCACTGTGGGAGGCCGAGGCGGGTGGATCACGAGGTCAAGAGATCGAGACCATCCTGGTCAACATGGTGAAACCCCGTCTCTACT